TCTTAACGATTCTATGAGGTTACCTTGCGTATGTGATTTAGTGTTATACAAGATCAGTACATCAATATCGAGACTACAACTCAAATCTCTCATCAAGTGAACCGTCAGCCATCAAGTCGTTAGGTAGATAAAATATATTATTTATTTGATTGTCTTTTTAAGTATTTTCTTACTATACTCATGCCTTTGTGGTGATTAAGTAACACCCTTCTCCCCATTCATATAATATTTATTCGTCTTATAATTAATGCATATTCATATTTGTTGTGTTACTAATCATTTTAGTTTCCTACTTATGTAAGTATCAAACTTAACTAAGTTTTATCTTTGAACTACAAAACTGAACTGCATAAATAATTGAGCCTGACTTGCATTAGCTGACAACCGGGTAAACGATTGTACAAACATATAGTATTTTGTCTGGTTACATAAAAATTCGTTTAATGCTAAGGTGTAATATTAAAAAAAGTCTAGGCTTACTTTTTTACTATTCTAGTAGTAATGTATATAATATTTAATAGCACGGCTTGGAACCGAAATTATTTCGGTATTTGTAATTTTTTTATAAAACTATTTATTTATGTTTTTTTTTATCGATTTTTTTTTTTAGTATATAGTTTAAATATTAGTTTATATGATCAAAATGGTAAATCACAATGAGACACCTCATATTTGAAAAAACAATTATAGAAATAAAAAATATTATGAAACATCCTATGATACCTTATTTGAAATTAAACTTTGTCTGTAAAATTTTTAATCAATTAATTAATTATTAATTAATTTAAAAAAATTATCCGAAAAAAATATATCATTTAATTTCGGGTTTTAAAGTTAAATTTAAGTCTGGTAAAGGTTTTAAAATCGATTTAATAATACTTTTTTTTATAGGATATTTGTAGAAATAATTATAGTTATAACCTTACAAATTATGAAAAAATTCAATATTATCCAATTAACTTGGGATGTATGGTTGAAATTTTTGAAAAAAAAAAACGAAATAATTTCGGTTCCTGGCCCTGTTTTATAAATTGATAAGCTATTATTCTTTTAAAACAAATGAGTATAAATTTCAACTGAAATTTTAAAATTTGAAGTGCTTAATCTATCTTCTTAAACCTGTAGTCAATATGAAACTAGACGTTAGTATTAATATAAGAATATCAAGGACGCACTAGAGTGAACATAATACATCAATAAAAATTTACAAGTGAGCATTTATTTTAAGCTCAACAAACTCATTCAAGTCTCTGATAATGTACAGAGAAGATTAACTGTATACCTTGAAATTCTTAGGGTTTCCATTAAGCTCCAAGAAATGAAAAACAAGTTATTGTAGTCATTATACGTTTATATGCAATGTTTCTGCTTTTAAACAAAAATTAAAGATATTGAATATTTCTATCACGTTTACAATATTTTCAAGAATACCTCAAACAAGCTTGAATAAAAATTTTTTCTAAATTAATCTAGGAAATATACAAAGTTATATGATAAAATTATTCGACTTAAATGATTTAACTTTTTTATAAAAAAACCAACATTATAATATATATGTTCGTACAATTTTCAATACCTATTTTTGGTAGTTATTACATGACATACAATAATATATTGTTATTTTAAAAGTTGCATGGTTATTTAAAAAACTTTTGATCTACGGTAAACGTTCAAAACGCTTAAATATATCATTAAAAAAAATGCATGCTATATTTTAGTTTGAAATGCGGATTTTACATGCATGTGAGTATCTTATTACTCAACTTGTGTGTATAATATACACGATGGAATGCTTCTGGAACATGCTAAAAAGTTGTCAGGATGTATAAAAGTAGAGAAAAGATGTACGGGAAACTTTTGTAGCCGGGTATTACTTCCATAGACGTGGTAACCTACTGTCTGTTTTCATATGCCACCGCTACAACAGCTGTGGAATAGAATACAGATGATGATGCTGTGTTTGAAAAACTTAATCAAAGTGTCTTTTAAATCACTGAGGACGATGGTCCCTACTTTCCAATAGTCTATTTGACCCATAATGTTCAACTACACCGTGAAAGCAGTGAATATACAAGTAACTCAGATTAACAACGTTAAAAAGGCCTAAAGATTTGAGATATTCTGTATAATTCATTGAGTTCTATTATAGTAGAACGTTTTAAAAGCGTTATATTATTTCTGGGGGAGTACTATTTGATCTCTCTAAAATACGCCTCTGATATTTTCTCAAATTGTTCTTAGATACTTATAATATTAAAAAAAAAAAAATTCAAACACGTTTTTTTCTTTAAATATTACGATAAAATAATATTAAGTACGTGCTTATTTTCACAAAAAACTTTATGAATAAATTTGTAAAAGATATTATTTCCCACTATGCCAAAAATTCAAATTGAGCTTATTGAAATAAATACATAGTTTTATTAGAAAACTGATAGAAACGCACGAATGCTATAATTTTAAATTACCGATAAAAAAACAAATTGATAGAAATAAAATTGTTTGTTATAAATTTACATATTATGTATGTATATGTATACATATTTGTATCATGAGTATAATGTGTCACCAGTATAGTAAAACAAATAAAAAAAAACATTTTTATTTATTTTTCATATAAATTCCGCCGTCATTAACGGCAGTGGCTGAATTGTCGTCAGTACTTACCCCTTAGAATTGTTTATTCATCAATTGCACATAATGTGAATGCAACATGAATTTGCCATTAAAATTACCCAATGTTCACACCTCGACACACAAGCAAAATGCTCATTCGAGGTATTATTATAAAATCCTCATTATCTAAAAACATACACAAAGTTCTACGAAATATATTATGACAATGATGTATCACTATTTACTTTATTGCTAGTGAGACATCTAAAAGCACATTTTATTTTACCTGAGAGCTATTGATAAACATAATACTTTTTTGTCGCTTAATATGTAAATGTATTCTATTTTTAATTGAAAAAGTTTACCATCATAAATTTAACAATAATTTCGATACATTTACTGGTTTATTATTTTCTACTGACGTTTCCTTGAGCTCAGGACCGATGTAATAATTAAGTATCATTGTACAATACTCTACGTTTGTATAAATAAACTCCTCTTGTCCCTACGTTATATCACGTGTGCGTTTCATCCTTTCACCTCGACAATCTGCTCTCGTCTTTGGGATTTGATAAACTCACGGTACGAGGATTAAATCAACCGAAAAAGATAATAGGATTCTAAGAGAAATCGTGTCGAGGTTTCAGTTACGATGGATATTGGTCCGATGACGTTACAGATTATTGTTTTGACATTTATCGTTTTATATATATATATATATATATATATATGTATGAAGATTAATTATTAAATGACGTCCAACTAGCATAGTTTGTAATAATGATTTTATTTTATAAGACATTTAATAATTGTTAACATATTTAAAACCAATTAGAACTGCTGTGAATTATAAATTTGTTTTATATTACTTATTTATTATCTATTAAAAATATAGTTATTTCATGTAAGAATATATTATTTGAATAATTTGTCTCGTACTCTTCATAAAGTGCTTAAGTGTAGTTCTTATAAATACTTCTCACAGTCAATGAAATATGCCTTATTTTTGTCAACATTTACAACTAAAATTTTAATTTTGAGCATTAAACATTTTTTTTTTTAACTTTCACTTAGTTTACACATGACTTAACTTTTCCGTTATGAGGTAAACTTGTTTCATTATTTATAGAACTTCATATCAAAGAATTTTACGGGATATTCACGCAAAGTAATAAACAGAAAAAAACGTGTTCCGTGAAAATAACTCAAAATGTATTTTGAATACATTAACTTATACAATATATTTTACGAAATGAGCCCTTCGATGTGAATATAATTTTCTCATTTCTCTTTGTATGTTGTCAAGTAACTTTTGTGTTTTAATTACTACGAAATAGTTTGCTGCCAATTATTATTCAGAGCTGTTTGTTTCAAGTAAAATATACTTATTTACTAAATTTTATCAACATTTCATTCACTCGAATTTTATACAATCATTTGTAAGGTAATTATTTACGTGATAACTTGTTAGTAATTTAAGAGAAATGTAACGTATCACAACTTTATCACAACACGGATGACAACTTTTGTTATAATTGACATCAATACTTCCTAAATTTAAGTTATGATCATTAAGTTTAAGAACTTTAATATCGGTATTAAGTGACAGTATTAGAGCATCTTCATAAAATACAATTAAAAATCAATTCTACAAAAAACTTAGTTTTCATTAAAAATTAATTAACTAACGACAAAATATTCTTATAAATTGAATTACGTTTCTTTAGCTAAATCAATAATAAATTACAAATTATTTAAACCGTATTCGTTTCGTTGTCAATTTACCACACAGACTATTATCATTTTTTGTATGCTCATATTCATGAGAAATTTTCTTTGTTTTTTTTTTCTTGCCTTTGCACACGTATCGAGAACAGTTTTTAGCTAACTCAATTTCTAACACGTATGAACAGCAATTCTTGCTATCGAGGTGTCTACATCAAAAAAATAAAATAAAAGATTACATGGGAGAGGGTTGCGCACGTATGTACAAAGAACCGTTTTTCAACGTTGGATCGTTAAAACATATACTTGTCAAAAAAAAAAAAAAACACAAAAAGTATAACACACGTGTGAGCAATACGTCGTTCTCTACTAGTTATTGTACAGAGTGCGGGGAATTTAGCATTGGAAATGTTACTTTTAATAAAAAATATATTATTGACGAGATAGTAACGTTATTGTTTAAAGTTGATTCTAAATATATGCAGATTTAACTTACGAAAATTGTTAAAAAAAAAAAAAAAAAATAAGAATAATTTTATTTATAAAAAATCTACGAAACAAATTGAATTTAGTTCATATTTTATTTCACAATTTGTTATTATTCATATGATAACATTAATAATGTATTATTTATTATGATTTACCATTATTAATTATAGGTTAAAAGTTGAACGAGCTGGAGGTGGATGGTGCCCTAAACCACCTGTAGAACAAGGGGTAAGGGAGTGGTTGCAAGTGGATTTCGGATCAGTTCACATGATCACGGGAGTTCAAACTCAAGGGCGTTTCGGTAATGGACGAGGTCTCGAGTACGCTGAAGAGTACACATTGGAGTATTGGCGACCAGGTTTAACTGAATGGAAAAAATACAAACGATGGGATGGAAAAGAGGTAACTCTAAATATAAAATTATCTTTAAATAATATGGCGTTATTCAAAAATTATTGAATAAATACGTGTTTTTTTCTTCTAAATTTAAATTTAACTAAACTAGTATTGTCAATTGTTCAAAAAAAAAAAACTGTATAGTGACTATTAATCAATCTGCTCAACTTCTAGAATTTAAAATTAAAGAAAGACGCATAATAAAAATGTAATGTAATTTTTTCCATTGAATGTGTTAAAAGGAAAGTTTAATAGCGTTTTGAAGCATCTCTTTCATATTAAAATCTTTTCAGCTTATAAAAACTTCTTCGCTATTTTTTTAGTCTTAGTCGTTTTTTTTTTTTTTTTGTCAAGTACTAGAATAGAGAAGAGTTATATTTGAGCAAAAAACAATGACAACATCGAATACATTGGACAAAATGTTTTACGAGTTTCATAAAGAAAGTTTAGTCAGTAAAGGCAAAAGACTTAAGGACTCAAAGCACGTTATTAAAAACACTGGAAAATTTATGGAACGATAACAATAATATCGACCTGTTTTATCTTTGCCCTCGGGTCGACGACGGACAATAGTTTCCAAACGAAAACTTTCACACCCTAAGTACAGTTCTGACGCCGTGTGTTCCGTTTTTGGGGGCATGTTTTTTTTCTTTTATTTTTCAAAGAATATTTATGACCAGTTTGGGGTTCTCGTTGTAAATCTTGGTTAATACTTATTATGTTTACTAACATTTTCTAAATGTGTCAGTTGTTGTTTTTGACCTAAATTGTTAATTCTATACAAAATAATATCCGCCAAAATAAAAATTAGCGTTTATAAATGTATCATTGCAGTATAACATTAAACGTCATTTATAAACATATTTCATTGCGAATTAAATATTTCAAATTAAATCATATTAGAGTGAAGTAATCACATGACTTATGGGTTGTCAATGATTTTTGACAAATCTAATAAATTTTTGTCCAAATACTTTGGTTTATTAAAATTATTAAAAAAAAAATTGTTATTATTTTTTATAAAACTGGGCTATGTTAAAAGAATATATTTTTCTTATTTGTCTCTGATAAGAAAAAAACAATTAAAATAAAACGTGATTTTTAATTTTTTCGTAATTTCAAAATAGCCATTTTTATCTCTTTTCTTACAAAAATAATTTGATAAATTAATAACAATTTTAAGAAAAGTACTTATGGTTGTATCAATGCTGAAATGTTGTCTATGCTGAAATGTTGACAAAATTATAAAATAAAATAATTTTCATTTATTTCTTTATTAGAGACAAATAATAAATAATGTGCTTTAAACATATTTCAATATTGTAAAAATTATTTAAAAAAAAAAAATAATAATTATAAAGAAAATATATAAAAAGATTTAAAGCTATTAGATTTTTCAAAACATCGTAGACCACTTTGTATAATTTAAATAGTTGCTCAGCTATTTTTTTAAATAATATGCACACTCAAATTTATGATAGAATTTTCTTGTTAAGCGTATGGCGAACATTGCGTTTTGTCAGAATTGCCATTACGAACAATTCGACACACAGCATACCATAGACGTAGTGTGACCTAGTTTATTTTAGAATTTATTGGGACATTCAAAAGGTCGATGGGTAGGAATGTTAGAGCCCGACTTACCCTCGAGGCCGTTCTCCGTCGATTTATCTGGGCAATTACAGAAGTTTAACGAAAGACAAATTGTCGTGTACTCGATGTATCCTCTATGGAAATTTTCCATCCCTGCGAATCTTAACGTCAAATGGTTAAACAGAACATACCTATTCTTAAATTCCCAATGAAACGAACTGCGGCTTCTTTAACTTTTGCAAACGCAAAAACTTTAAAGGGTAAAAGAACAGTGTGTTTAGCCTCGATACATCATTCTAACAGTCTTTTCTTTCTCAATAAATAACTTTTGTGCTCTTATTTGGCCAACTATTAGAATAAATTATTGGTAACTAAACAATTTTAGTTAAAAAGATTTCTTTCAATTTAACTTTACGTCAAAAAAATATTTTTTGGAGAATAATAATATGTTATTATTAATAACAGTTTAACAAATCATAAAAACTTTTTTATTATATCGCAATGTATTAATACTGAATTTAAATCCATTAACACTTATTCTCTAGTTTTCGACTTTGGGTTAAAATTTTGTTTTAAATTTAAACAAAAAATTGAACAAAATTATGTATAAATTAACTGATATTTTAATTAGTAAAATATTTATTATTGCAGATAATGTCAGGCAACACAGATACTTCTACAGTAGTTCTACATCATTTGCTTCCACCTGTATTTGCATCTCAACTACGTATATTGCCTTACAGTATTCATAGACGCACCGTTTGTCTCAGAGCAGAGGTCAGAGGATGTCCAACAGATCGTAAGTAGACTTGATAATTTGATTATCCAGTCTTTATACATTTTATAATTTTGCTTTTCACATTTTCACTGAACTTTAGTTAATGTTGTATTTGCGTTGTATGATTTCCCAGAAAGTTCTCTTAATGAAATCCGTGAATAAAATTACATCAAAAATTTATACTTAGATGGTTATTTATGGAACTATTTAATTTACCAAAGTAAAGTGGTCAACGAACCTACGATCCAAAGAGAAGTTGGATACTTAAATTTTGTCTACTACAGAAATGCCAGGGAAATGAATTCCAAATGGTTGGCATCAAAGAAACAAAGTAGTAATGCCAATATAGAATCAAGTCTGCAGAATGCACAAATAGTCTTGTCTTTCTTTAATATAATTTAATCCGTTTGTGGTGTATAACGAAACAAAGTAATTAAATTCCAACTGGACCATGATTAGACGCATATATTATTATTAGTGAGTTATATTTCAACTTATGCGTTCATTTTTTAAAATTCACTAATGAGAATCAATCAAACATCATTAAAGGCATACCTAGATATTATCCAAGGGCGGGTTAACCTTAATTTTCAGTCTGCAGAGTGTGTTTGGTTGTATTTAAGCATTTTGTAGCTATGAAGTCTTCTCATGGCACATTAATGGCGTTACCAAAATCATTTTCTTATTTTGAATTCGTTACTAAAAAATCATTTCATAAATGAGTTTATTATTAAATTATATTTAATAAATTTATTATATTCTAAATTAATTAGAAATTCGTTTCAAATCAAGACTTAATAATAACTTTGCGTAAAAATAAAAACCGTTTATTTAGTAATAATAATTACACAGACATGTATGTTTTTCTATGATTTATTCACCATAATAATAGCTTTTGTCGATAGTCAGTTTGAAGATCTCATATTTCATAAGTAAAATTTATAGTCAGGTTTGCCGAAATTGATTGCAGGTCAATTAGGGCTTAATGCATTAAATACGAGATTTCCGGACGTGATGGCAATTCTTTCGTTTGGACTGAAACTGAATGCGAATGAGATTTACAGCGAAACAAATTGCACGTGAGAAAGTACATATGATGTGGCCGAAAATCGTTTTTCTTGTCTTAGATGCCCCTCCTCTATCACTGCCGTCACTACCGGGCGTACCCATGTTCGCGTTTACGGTCACCCACTACTCCCAAATGACTGAAAGTTCGATTAATCACGCTGGACACGTTTCCGTTGCACACGACTTGTATAACACACTACTTTAGTACTGAAGTTTTACGGGAAACGCCAAAATAATAATCTGCGGTCGCCGGTCCACTGCCTCGAACTTGAACCGCAGAAGGTTCACTGCTCATTTCTCTTTCTGAATGTTAGTTATGAACTGATAGTTGACGAATTCCACCCGATATTGCAATTCAAAGCAAATAATACAGTGTAATCGTAATCTAATTAAACATTCCAATTATTCATTTATTATTAAAATTTGTAAATCTATTATCAAAACGACACAGATATAGTTAACGAGTAAAATAAAATATTATTCATTAATTTATAGTTACATAATTTATGTAAATACCACAAAGGGGTAAATATAGATGTTTCAACGCACGGGGTGTTTCCATTCCCAGGGTGCCAAAGAGATTTTTCTCGTGATTTCCTCGTTGGTGGTGTCTGGTATATGATGCAAGCCGGTCATAATACCAGTCCCGTCCATTATTGGTCTAGCCAATGTACCATCTTGACTTCCTATCATGTAAAAGAGAGCCACCGTCCTCTGTAGCATGTTAAGTTCGGGAAATAGACGGATTTAAAACTGGTCATTTATGTAAATACCATTGCTTTTAATACTTGGGCATTTTTTAACTAATAATAAAAATCAAACGGCGTTAAATATAAATGAGTAATTTAAAATATGTGTCATTACATGATGTAAAAAAATTTCGAATACATACAAGTGTATATAAGTTTAAAACATAATCTCTAGTTTATTCAATAGAATCTACGACTTTATGAGTATTAATATTAATTTAAAATAACACGTTTAGAGGTACTACACACACACACAAATATTTATAATAATGACAGCGTGAGAAACAAAAAAATAAATAATGAAAAAAGAGAACTTAGACATTGCGTGCAAACGTAATTGAAAAGTTCCCTGTAAGTCTATGGNATTGCGTGCAAACGTAATTGAAAAGTTTCCTGTAAGTCTATGATTATTTCCTTTCTTCATTTTGGTCATTGTAACGTTATTGTTTCAACGAAGTGAACTTTTAAACATTTGATAGTTTCCTTTTTCGTCAGCAAAAACGACAATTATTAATATGAAAAAAATGTTCAATAATAATACTGAAATAATTAGGTTTACGTCCAACAAATAACATTTCTCTTATATCCATTAAATAGATCATTTGAGTTATAATAGTTAATTTACAATATATAATGGCAGACATATAAAACCATTAAAACATGAATATGTTTAATTTTTTTTTGGTGTAAAAATTGTTTTCTAATTTCCAAGAAAAAGCTATAATATATTAATTTTGAATCCGTTGGAAACTCTTTTTTATTAATAAAACTTAAAATGCACCTAGCTATTTTTTTCGATTGGAATGTTTTCCATTAACATAATTGTTTGCTTGTTACAATATTAATTTTTTAAAGTAGTTTGCAGATTCTTCAGTTCACTTTCCGTTAAAAGATAAACCAATTCATCTTTTCTTTGAAATTAAATAAATATTGATTAATATTAATTTTTTTTAGTCACGATTTTTAAATTGGAAATAAAAAGTCTTAGTATATCTCACGNTCACGATTTTTAAATTGGAAATAAAAAGTCTTAGTATATCACACACTTAGTATGATAGACTTGTAATTTTCTGTTCTATTAATACCTTTTAATTTATAAGATTGAATAACAAAGTTTAAACTCTTTATCTATGTGATTTCTATTGAACAGTTGGTATAAAGCACTCTATACCTATATAAAAGCTCTGATCCTGGAAATATAATGAGAAATAAATTTGAGAAACTAAAACTGAAACGCCATTGTACAATACATTGTGTGCTCTTAGAAATGATTCATTACTTTTAATACCTTTTGAAATATTATTTCAAATAATAATATTATAACATTATTTATAAGTTTTAAATAAACATGTATTTATCAAGCTAATACCTAAATATCAAATTACTTAATTTTCACTTAAACGCAAAACCATTATATTATATATCACACGTTTTTGGCATTGAGTCCTGATGTCCATAGTGATATCAATAGCACATAGAGGTCAGAGAATAGAATTTAATATTCAAACCTATATAACGACCACTACACCTCTAGCCTACCTAGTTACTACCTTTCACAACCACATCTCTGTCATTTGCTTGTATGCCGACGTCACTAAAGTCTGTGTATCACCCTACAAAATACCTTGTGTACCCTATTTCTCATAATTCTATTATTAAAGAGGAAAACTAGTTGTTACTAGGATGCTTGGGGACAATATTGAATATCGATCATAAGACAATAGTGATTTTGTAGGAAATAATGAAAAAATGACTAGAGTGAAAATTCAAAATGGTAATTGTACATTTTTCATAAAAATAATTATTAAATAATCGCCTTAAACGTGACCAAATCGATGTGCTATTACATACTATTTCAAAAGGTACAATAATGAACATTATTAATTCATATTTTTGTGATTTCGACAAATTTTCTAATATTAATTAAAATCGATAGAGACATAGAATTCCTAATTAATTTATACAATTATCATACCTAGAAATGAAAAATATATGTATTACTATTATTATTTAATTATAATGGGATCTTGTTAGTATAAAAAAAAAAAGTGAAAATATTTTTATAAATTTATTTTATTATTAATTGAAATAATATGATTTTAACTCTTTACTCCTAGACTTAATAAGAAAGTCTTACTTTTTATAGTAATTATTATTTATTTTACATGATAATATTATCCTACGATGAAAATGTTAACATGACGAATACGGTCACTTCTCTTTTACAATTAAGTTAATTTATACAGAGTTATTGATTTATCATTAATCAATAAATTTCTCCTAAAATAATTGTAACGTTTAAAATATTTTTTTTACATTTTAATGACAATCTACATATATATCTGTTTTAAATATTAAAAATTATTTTAGTTAAGAAAATAATTTTTTGTTAATAACTTTTAAACCACTATTTCATTTATGAATATATTTATCCTGGGTGAGTAGAGTAGCGCGCCAGATAAATGTATAATGTTAAAAGATACATAACACACACCTCACCTTCCGTCTATTTATTAAAATCTTAAAAACTTCCAAAGTACTCAAGGCCAAATTGTAGTAATTCAAAATATAATGAAAAAATAAATGTTTGTTCAGAGATTTGGTTATTGCTGTAATATTAAAATATGAAAATAATGGGCTTATGTCAAAGGAGTTAATATGGTCGACTAATTCAAGTAAATTCGAGTGACTTACTATTATAGTTAACTGTGAATTATTTCATCGGGGTCATAGTTGGAGGGTTTAAAAATAATTAGGTTTTAAAATAATTTACGATATAAGATTATTCTGTTGGTATATTAAATTGTAAGTATATGTGTGTTAATTAGCACCGAGTAGCATTTGCGTTAACACGCCCTTGCTCCGAGGACTTCTTCCTCAAATGAGGCCAGCAACAGTACGGATATCTCGCTACTAGAACTTTTAAAATATGTGTATACCAAATATTCTTGCAATACTACAATATTGATTACTTATATATTTATGTTAATGGTTTCAACTAATCATACTACCTTATTATTTAAAAACAATCAATACTCTTTTAGTAGTTAAAATGTATGACAGGGGTTAATAAAATTGACTCGCCTTTCAGTTGCTTTTATCTAAGCTCTTAATATAAATTGCAATCAGGTAGAAATTAATTGAACACCAAAATAAGATTTGCTGTAATTGTCACAAAGCATACGGCAGTCGAGATGGTTTATCACTTTTACCATTAAATAGCTAAATGACTAGCTAATTCCACTACTATGTTCCATACTGTTAAACGCTATTCTACATTACCCATTAACTACTGCACAACTGTGCTGATGCACTAAAAAATGGAGAGAAGAGAGAAAGGCTGCCTTTTTACTTTATATAGTTGATAGTTCCCATTTCTTATTTTATGGCAATTTCGAATGCCGTACTGCCTTTTTAGACTGTTTTATTATTATTATTTATTACACGGTAATCATGGCTTAGTTAACTATTACATGAAAAAATATATATTTAAATTATAAAGCATTTTTATGATATCAATATGGTACATAATACAATTTTTGTAACATTGTACTTATCTTATAATTTACATCCAAATATTTTAAGAATCATTTAAAAACAATGTGCATGAATATTACAACAGAATTTACAAATAATTTTGATAGGCACATATGAATATATTAATACTCATACAAGTTTTTTTCATCTATGAATCGTCAACACGGAAGACAATTATATCCATTAAACTTATAAATAGATATATTTTATATAGACATAATAAGTAAATAATATCGATTATAGGGGATTATTACTCTTTGTTTTTTTTACTCTGCATCAATATTTAAGAAAACTCGAATAACTAAATAAGATCATCTAAGACTATAAAATATAAATATTATTTTATTGGAGGGAAGGGCAACAATCCTCTAACCTAACTATGGTTGCACCACTGTTATAAACTAAATAAAATTATGTTGCGAACATTACAAAATACATTTTACAATTTATTCAATTTTATTGATTTCAGTATTAGTTACACAAAAATTGACATGTTGATTCGTATTGAGCCTTCACTCTTGCCCCTCCTTAATTATTATAAAAATACTGATTCAAAATATGTTATAGAAGAAATCATTTCCATAATTTGATCATTTTTTTTTTATGAGCTGATTTAATAAGTATATTATTATTTAAGAAATAAAGTTCGTACTTTTATAAGAATATAGGGATGGAGCTGAAAAAACATTACTTATAAATCGATTATTAAATAATACTAAACAAAATTATCTTAAAATTATTATAATTTTAGGAAAAATTTAATAGTCATCAATAAATCAATAATTTGTGTAATATAAAATGATAAATATATCATTGTTTATTTTATTATTTGATAATTTAATATTATTGACATTCACATAAAAACTGTATTTTTCAGATGGTATAATTAGTTATACTATTCCAGTAGACGACTCATCTAATGACAACAGTGACGGAAGCGACTTATCTTATGACGGCGAAAACATTGATGGAAAACTGATCGGTGGACTTGGACGTTTAGTTGATGGAATTTATGGTGTAGATAATTACAAAATGGACATTGGTTACGGCAAAGGTAAATGACATAAAACAAGTTTAGATCTAAACATGTTATTAACTTATTATAAATTGATTGATATTCGAGTATCTTTTAAACTCTCTTTTTGTATTTCTTTGTTACACTTCATAATTGTTTTAAAGATTTACTTTCTATTTAATCGACAAAAAATGTATTCAATTATTACAAATATTTTATTAGTCTAAATTATAACTAAATACTCGACACGAGTTTGAAATTTCTAATTAGAGGCGCATTAAGTAATACGGCATGGTGGCTATAATTAGGGTTAGGATTGTGAATTCGGACGGTGAGGTCGTCTAAGGAAACGGCGGGTGTTTTATTCAATTATGATTATTTTTGGACGTAAAACTTTCGGAGCCCGTTTATATGAAAATGTGACGTTTGTACAAGCTAATGATATGGACGTTTTAATAAGCTCCGACAAACTTACTCGACAGTATTCGTATATAAATAATAATTCAAGTTTCCTAATCCTCGACAATAACAATAACAAATAAACGCGCGTAACTTCGGAAAATGAAAACCATATATATTATATTTTACCGAGATAGGGTAAGCTTAAGGCAGGGGACAAACTGGAAAACGGAGTTCATTATTATAGAACTGAGGTGAACGCGCACATTTTATGTATATCATACCGTGTTGTGAATATTATGACTCTGAGCTCAGCATAAAATACGATCAAATGAATCGGGTAAAAACTATACTAATGGAAGAATGGGTAATGGCCGCGGACTCCCCTTTCTTTTACGTTTCAAGAGTTATTTAACTGTAACCCTTAAAGCATGTTGTACACATACAATTTCATTTCATTTTTATGATTATTTCTTATGCATTACACATTATTTATTGATCTAGTTGTTTTTATTTACTATTAAACGAGAAAGCATGTTTAAAGTAATTAAAACAATCGTATTAGACATTTTATTAAATTTTCGTATTAATTAAACTGAATTTGTTAAACAAACAATTATTAAATTTATCAGAAAAGATAAATTATTTCTTTATTAAAAATAAATTGGCTTTATTGGACTCAGAGTTTCAATATTCTTACTTGAAGTACTGTTAATTAATTCATAAATATAACTACTATTGAAATGCTTTTGCATTAAATGAATATATTATACTTTTAGAGTCTATAAATAAAGATATCATTAATATTACATGTAAATTAAAGTTATAATGACCTTTTATCGGTTATCAATATCCCAATGGTATTTAGAGTTAAGTTATTTAAAATATTTCATAGATTTTTCATTTTTTTTTATTTGTATCTAGGTAATGGTTGGGTTGGTTGGCGAAAAGATTATTTCACAAAAGGTTTTGTAGAATTGATATTTGAATTTGATGGAATAAGAAACTTTTCTGCAGTTCACATATTCACCAACAACTTTTTTAGCAAGAACGTACAGGTGAGACATATTAACAAATAACTTATTTTAATAATAACCACTTTATTACTTGAATTACTCAAACAACTCACATACTTCTTCAATCTTTCTTTCAATCGAAATACTCGTCCAAGTTGTTTCTTTATGTGACAAATAACATAATATTTTTTCATAGAAACTTAACGAATGCTACTAAAATGTTGAAAACTTACTTGGGAAAGCTTAATGACCTCTTGTACATATAAAAAAAAAACACAAGTTTCAAGCGCAGTTAAAGTACGCTTTCGCATTTTTTTGTCCTCTGTAAAATTAACGTATGCATGTATTTAGGGTGTACACTCTTGAGACATGTTCTTGTACACGACTTCGTATATTAGTAAAGTAACGTTAAGTTCTTTAACATTCATAAGCAGACAATTTTAGTTAATATTTATTACATGTTTTCCTGGTATATACGGTCTACTGGTGTAATATTTTGTCAGTTACGAAAATATTTATAAAGTAATTATCCATTCTACTAGGTACTTCATCAACAGGTACTGTGATGCATATATTTATATGGGTGTATATTTTATACTTATTAATAATAAATCATGTTTTGTTTTTAACTAAAATATATCCATGTAAATAAAATTATTTGTTTTTAGAATGCTTTTGTCATGTGTATTTAACACCGCATTGGATGTATTTGACTCATTCATAATGTGCAGTGATTTCATATTTAAAATCATTGAAAAAAATGTTTACTTTATTTAATATTTTTCATTCGTTTTTTTAAAGCCGTCAACCCTTTGATAATTCTTTTATATATATTTATATATACTTAGAATGATATATTTTTAATAAAAAGTGTTTATCAAAAACGTTAGTACCATAGTATATGAGTATTAATAGGACGAGAAGAGAAAAAAATTGGGTTACACGAGACACTATTAAAAGTCCGGTCTGTTCGCTTTTTGGTTTTGACAAAAATTTATGGTCTTACTGTAGGTAAGACCTTTTACGACCTGACCGCGTTATGCCTACGACAGATTTATGAATCGTGTGTTTCATTTACTCTAGAAATGATATAATAACAAGTCACAACATATATTGCTTCACTGAACAGTTGCATTAAGTACGGTGTTATTTGATATACGGTATGTTTGAGTAACAGGTAGACCGGAAAAGATGAGCTTTTCTTCCCGTAGCTTATACAAACATTTTATTAACAATATTTTTTACATTGTATGTAAATTGAATAGGATTTTATTGCAATACAAAATACTTACAAAAAAAAAAAATGTACAATATAAAAATTGATAATTCTATTACAAATTCTGTAAGTGTTCAATAATATTGCATTATGTTCAATGAATATTGTTCATATATAAGCATAATACAATATTATATAATTAAAATATATATTTTATTTTTTAGACATTATATAAAATAATCATTCCAAATTAAAAATTATTATTTTTATAGATGTTTAATAATTTTGGATAATGAAAACTATTTCATATAATAACATTATAAAACTAACCAAAGTCACAAAAAAAACACTTTTAAATTGTGTACACATATTTGAATTGGTTTTTTCGAAAAGGCCATATCTCCATAAAATTTTATTTTTCAGGAAACGTAAAAAACTGTTTTTAAAGATCAAAATAAATTTAGGTGAAAATTGAATAAGGGTTGAATTATTGAATTCTCTTCTAAAAAACCAAGTATGATGTAATATTGACTATTTATGCCTATTGGATTATTTTATGAGGGAATGTGTTTAAGATATGGCTTTTTCCAATGTATTGTAAATTTTCATTGATTATAACCTCGAGACTCTGATCAATTGTTTATTGTATATCATATAAAATTAAATAATTAGTCTTACAAAATATATTGTGCATTCTTTGTAATAATTTTAATTATGAACTTCAACATCACTTCTTTTTAGTTAATTGTTTCTTCTTATAACAATCGTAGACTCAATTTTGTCTTCGAATTCACTCATATTGACTTATTATTACTGTATATTCTTGATAATAACAATAATTGTTATTGTTATTTTCAACTGTTATCGACAAAAGATAGACAATAAACCAGATGAAAATAGAATCTTAACAAATAAAAATTGCTGATCAAGTTATTTATGTAGAAATGGCCTTTTCGAATGCACTCGTTATTTTTAGACTATAACGAGTTGTTGAAGATATGACGGTCTCGCAGGAAATATACATTAGTATTAGATAAACACATCTATCACACAAAAGTAGTTTTGAAAAAATGTGGAGAAATGGCCTTTTTGAAATGACCGATTCATTTGGCAACTGATTATTATTAATAAAGCTTTTTTGAAATACTAAATATTTCTATTTTACCAGTAAATAAATAATTTTCAAACTACTAATTCAATTCTCCTTGAAAATATTCAAAATTTTCTCTTACATTTTTTACAAGAGTGAGCGAGACTAGTTGTTATTATTAAGATATTTTAATTTAAAATAATAATAATACTACGAAAACATATGATTTCATAGATAAATTAATACTTCGAATATTTTATCATTTTGTTTTAAGTATGATATTTTGATCATATTTATATATACCAACAATTATTCGCCTTTTTATGTTTTTCGTGTCAATAATAAAATTTAGTTACATTTTTCCTTTTAATTAAAGCTATAAAATGAGATATTTTTGATTTTAAATATCTAGTAGATAGGTAGTCATATTTTATTGTCTATTTTGAAAACAAAAGGTATTATGTGATGCTGTATGCAAACAATTTTCTTAATAGGATAGTTGTTCCAATCCAAAATAGAGAAGATGTTACATACTGTAACATATACTATTTATAATCTATAAAAAAATTATTTGTTTCAGTAAATTTAATAAAATTAGTATAATTTATTTCATTTAGATTGGAAGATCACTGAACTCTGGGGTTAATGTTTGTAAATAATGCAGAACCTAAGATGTTTTTTGATATAATAAAATTGCATATATGACATTTAATTTTTTATAATTATAAAATTTTAAGACATTTATTATCAAGATATTTTATAATAAAAATTACTTTACTTTGTTATTTTTGGAATAATATATTGGAAAAATGTGTACTTTAACAATTTGTCCCAAAGTGGAGTAAATAATTTTAACTTGCCAAAGTTATGCATATTTTTTGACACTTTAAATACAATTTTATTGAATAAGTAATAATTTTATGATAGCTTTAAATTTATAGGTTAATACTAATTCATAAAAGTTTGGATAACTGTTAAGAAAAAATACTAAAAATAAAAATGTAAAAACAACTAGGTTGTAATAACTAACCCTGCTCTTCCATACCTCTTTATCAACTAAATGAAAATGTAATACAAAATTAAAAACTTATTATTATTGATTTATAGGTAGTAAAATTGTATAGATATTCTTTACCTAAAAAGTTTTATTAGTAAAAATTACTATTTACAAAATAAGTGAGTGTTTAACAGTTTTTAGATTTTTTTTTTTTTGTGAAACGTTATGTAGATAAAATATTCTTCTAAAAAACTTAAAATGTATTAATATTAGAATATTAACGTGAAATAAATTTTACATTAATAAAAGAAAATAACAAATATTATCACTTTAAAACAGAATGTAATATTGCAATATAGTCCTCACACTCGTTTTATTGTACATATTAATTTAATTGTCACTTTATTACAAATGATCATTCATCTTTTAAACTCTATACATAGGTATTCTCAAAGGCACGAGTTCAGTTTAGCATCGGTGGTCAACATTATCATGGACGGTCAGTTTGGTACACGTACATGCCAGACACAGTTCTTGAAAACGCAAGAGACGTTGACATACAACTACATAATCACCTAGGGAAATTCGTAAAAATTCAGCTTTACTTTTCAAATAAATGGATCATGATCAGTGAAGTTAAATTCGATTCGGGTAAGAAAATTATTATTTCGACGATTCCCTATTTCTTCTAGCATTGTGTAACTCGAAATAATTCTATGAAATAGCATCTAATGTTGTTGGTTTATTTAGCGGAATATATACTTTATCTACTCTACTATAACCTAACTTTTTAAAAAGTCTGTTTTCGATACATGAAATCACGTAGATATTTTTGGTCTTAACTACAATACGCGATTTGTTTTTAATATATTTTAAATGAATACAAATATTTAGAAAAATCGTTCAAACCATGAACTACCACGCGATTAATGTCAATCAAAGCGAACTACAAAATATACACCAATGCTAAATTGTGTAATTTTGTTAAAGTTTAATATTCTTCAATAACGAATGTCATAAGCTAGTGCGCAAAGTAGTATTATGTTATTTTAGCCTCAAAATATTATCCTATAGACAATGCGGTATAAAAATTTCCATTTCAACAACTTCGACTTTATAGAAATTAATGTATGATGAAGAGCATTGTGTGAATTGCCCATTTGTATATATATGATTAGGTTTTATTTAAATTATTGACTTAATAGAGTAAATAATTAATATGTGTGTGAAAGCTGACAAGTTAAACTGTTTAGAGTTACTCTCTTCCAAATCTTGTTAACTCCATAATAGATAAGTAACCGCACATTAGTCCAAGTCGGCTAGACAGTCGTCGCGACGTCTGTTAATGTCACTTGTTTTATCCCTACCTTTATACAAAGACCTCTAAGAATCATTCTACAACCACATACATATAAGTTCGAATGAAAAATTTTAGATTTTTTTTTTTTTACATCTAGAATTTCCTTTTCACCATATCTTTTTAACCATTCTGTTAAAATGCTTATATGTACGATACAGAAAAAGCTGAATCGTTTATTCGTTCGCCAACCACGTGTACGCCGTTATGACCGAGTGCCTCTTTTCTTTATAAGCGGGTTATTTATGAGATGGGGATTATATGAATGTAGGATCTTGTCTTATGAAGCTATTTATTTTCGGCACAACGAACTCGTTTTATTTAAATGCTGCGTGCTACCGTTTCTACATTGCCTACCTGGAATACTGCAAATACATCCATGTGCATAAGATGTATGCACTTTCATGGCATAAACCTGGGAAAACTTTTGACTGTTCTGTGGAATAAAATTGTACATAATGTTTTTATACAAGGTTTAAACAATAATCGAATATTTTCCATGAAAACGTTTATATCTATAGTAGATTAAGTCAACATAATAATAGAAATACATAGATATTTAAGTAAAAATAATATATATTTCACATGGTGACCTCAAATATGTTTGACTATTATTAGAAATTTCAATTATTTGACAAAATCTCATATGAGAATTTATCTTTGTAGATAATTAAACAAATTAACTTATTAAATAATTGACATCAGGTATGAAATCTCAATACGGTTGAAAGACAAATCACACAGATGACTTTTATAATTAAATCAAATCAATTTAAGCTCAAAATCAGAGCCGGTAAGTTCGGGTTACACGGCTGCTTCATATTTCCCTAGTGATTTTTGCCTAACTAAATAACACATACGCCGTTGAGCATAATATAGTTTCCGTTTACTTTCATACGCCAGAACTATGAGTAGGTAGGTAGGTATGTCTCGGATTGAATATTGTATGTTTCATTTTGCAGAGCCGCTACCTCAAAACTTCACCGTCGACACTGACACACAATTCGAGGATGAACAGTTGGTGGGAGGAGCTGTGGACCCACCTTGGGAATCACCCGACACTAGTAAGTGCTTAATATTCATGGTCCCTGGCACTTTCGAAAAATGCGTTAGTTTTTTTTCAATTTGCCTCGAGCATCATTTATTAACGAGAGCACCCGAGGGACGGCCATTTTTATTTCATTTCTCTTTCAGAGCTTTATATTTTTATTTGTTCTCTTACCTGAATACGACTTCGTTTGTTTTAGCTACGCACAAAGAAAAAGACAACAGAGACAGTGGACTTGTAGAAGTATTAATTGGCGTGTTGACTGCAGCTACTCTCATCTTACTTGGTATATGCGCTATAGTATTGGTTTTGAGTCGCCGTAAAAAACATCAAACTATTAGCACTTCGATATTCAAAAAACCGTTTGGCGTCACTCTGAATATGAAAGATATTTTTATGAACTTGGCACCACATAACAACAACAATAACGTCATCAGTCGACACATAACAGAAAATCCGTTGCCCGTATGTGAACAAATGCGCAGTGATAGTTTCATTACAGAAAACTACGGAAAATCTCAACATAACGTTATTTACGAAACACCACTTTTGGCCAGGAAAGATTACGAAACAATTCGTAGTAGCAAAGGTACGAAACTATATCATTAAGAGAAATAATGCCGTTATTCTTATTTATGTAAGAAAAATAGATAAAAACGTATTATTACAACGAGTTTTTTTATTGGAAGATGTTCTAAAAAAGTTGTCTTACATATAAAATAAATGCCCAGATGATAAGAATATAAGTTTTTATAAGAATATACAATCATTAAAACACTTGATAACACAGAAAAAAATTGAAAATAAAACTGTATAGTAAATTTATTTTTAATACTTCACAATATTAATAATATTTTTAATTTTAAAAGAAACATACAAATTTAACTGGTCTACAAAAAATTAATTAATCTAAAAAAATAGCAATTTAAATTAAAGGTAGAGAAGTAATACGTTTCATATATTTTTATAGAAAAATATAAACACACCGGCACGTCACCTCCTTTGTTTTTATTAAAGTGTTAATAATTTCCAAACTATTGTTTCAAAAGTTGTTATCGACGAGTCATTTTTTTTATTGTGAGTTAGTTAAATGTGTAATTTTAAATTGAAAATACTAAAAATGATAAAATTTTAAGTTGATAGAACTGTATATTTTTTGTTCTTACTGTGTAGGATATTCATAACTTTTGAAAGGGAAAATTTACGTTATCTTGTACTTTTGAAGATAATACGTGAGTTAGAGTTAGCTGATCGCAATGTGTATATATATATATAAATATTACTTTTTTTTAAAAATGAGGATAGTTTAAATTCTTTCTATAGCCTTAACTTAAGACAATGAAAACAATATGCACAATTATTTTATGTAAAATGTTGTTTATGTTTTTAAGTTGAGGTTCTTACATTTTCATAGCATTATACATCAATATTTTTTTAAATTACAGTTACAGATGCAAAGTGTGCAACGTCAGTAAAAGAATTTGGACGTAGCGATTCAGAACGAGAATCATTGAGTAGTCTCGAAATAGACCCAAAATCAATTGATTATTCTACGAGGGATAGCGTTACGTCCTTACATTACCGAAGTCTACAAATGCAAAACGCATTGCCTTCAGTCATGATGGATAGTCCGACTAGAAACAAGCAATTGCAATGCACTTCTGATGTCGCTTCTCGGAAAAGATTCCACACTGCTCCCCGTGAAAAGCACAGAGTAAGTTAAATATTCTAAATTTAACTTGTTTGAATAACGCAGATTAAGCAATTAATTTGTGCTCATTATTTAAAATAAAGTTTCACAGTGAAAGAGATAAATGTTAATTATATCTATATATTTTGTTTAGATGGCTCCGCCTTCTGTAACATGGAACATCAGTCCAAGTATGGGTCAGCCCTATAAGTGTCGAGAAGCAGATATTGTACAAATCCCTCGATATTGTTTGAACGTAGTAAGCAAACTTGGTATGTCACATCAGGGTGAAGTCGCAATTTGTGAAACGATGGACATAAATATAACTGAAAACGGACGAGTGGTCGCTAAAACTTGTCCATCAACGTCAACAAGGGAAATAAAATTCTTATGTAGCCTTATCGACCCCAACTTAGTGCGCGTATTTGGAGTGTGTGGAAACGAATCACCACCGTGGCTCATTACTGAATATCCCGCTGAACTTGGCGATTTGGTTATCGTTTTAAGAACTCATTCAACATTAACGTAAGAACACAATTGATTATAAACTAACAATTACTAACCAATAAAGCTGATTACATCTGATATAATCACAAGTTTATCAAACTAAAACAAATACTACTAAAACTAATTAATTCAGGCTATGTCATAATCTTATTGAAACGATAATACGGCGCTATGGTTAGGCAATTTAGCTACACATAAGTAAACATACTTTTATTGAAAATATTTAATCAAAATAAAAAAACAAACTAACCAATTTTTAAAAAGACAACTAAAAGTTCGTTTAGTTTTTTCTGGAATTTTAATTTATATTTTTAATAAGAGTGTTATCATTTATAAAATTGAATTCATTCCCTTGGAGACTAAAAAATATGGGATAAGCTTAGGAGTTGTACTACTACAATATTTGGTTAGCCATTAATTAAAAATGTAAGAAATGTTCATAATAAATTTTTATGTTAGCACCACTTTCAATGCTATTTAGAACACAAATTTAATTAAAAAATTATAGCAATAATAACATTGTTTTTGAAAAAAATTCTAATCATGTCACTGTACATTACAACTATATTATGAATTTTTCATCTCGATTAATTTTTTTTTTTTTACGCACTTTTTTGGACTTGTAAATTTAAACTTGGGTTTTATTACATAGCGCGTCCCCGTTGCTTAAATACAACTTAATAAATTGTCTGATTTCATTCATCATTATTATTTCATCTAGGTATACAACATTAATGTTTATGGCTACTCAAATAGCATCGGCCATGAAGTATTTAGAATCGAAAAATGTTGCACACAAAGATCTAGCCGCAAGGTAAAATAGAATTAGTTTGAAAATAGATTTTTGTATAACCACGAAATGTATCTATTTCATGTAGGAACTGTCTAGTTTCGAGAGGCTATTCAATTAAAGTAGCAGATATAGCGGTGTGCAATCCAGCGTACAAGAAGGACTATAGTGAAATTGGTAACCGCCCTCCCGCTCCTATTCGATGGCTCCCGTGGGAAAGCATACTACTGGTGAGTTTTGTCTCTGATCAACGCCTTACCTTAGTCTAAGTATATTTAAACGATTTTTGTCGTTTTCTATAGGATCGATACACATGTCCCAGTTCTGTATGGTCTTTCGCGGTGACAATGTGGGAACTGCTAAGTATGGCACGAGATAAGCCATTTCCACATCTTACCAACGAACAAGTAATACATAATGCTGAACAAATGTATTACGGAGGAGAGTTACAAGTAAGATGTAAAATAAAATAAAAACCATATAAAAGCCGAAAAATGTGAGATTATTGAAATTGTCTCATATTCCTTGAAATGTTTTTTTGTTTATTTAACCGTTTTATAAAATTTAACTAACTCAAAGTACAATGATTATTAATTTTTATTACTGAAACATAAAAGAAATTATTTTTATAATAAATGAATTTGTAATTACATTGAGTATTGACAAAATTAAATTGATTAACAAAGTTATAAATTTACATAATATAATTTGTCTTTGTCAACTATTGGTTTATTTTTGAAGAATTTTATTTTTAATTTATAATATAGTTAATTAAAAATTATTTACTTTAAAATCTTAAATTAATTTTTTCTCTTATTTATATTAGGTACTATTGCCTAAACCAAACTTGTGCCCCGCGGAAATATACGAGCTCATGTGCGAATGCTGGAAACGTGATCAAAACCACAGGCCGACATTTAAGCAGCTCTATCACTTCTTGAAAAGGAATCACACAACATATTCGTGTGAAATAGACAAACAATTGCAGAACATTTCACCTGTTTAGTTCTCAACATTTGTGTGATTTTTCTTGTTGATGTATATAAAAAAAAGTGTAAAAAATTCTCATTGTTAAATCTTGAATATGTTCTTCATTTTCTCGGTTCTAGGATAATAATAAATTTAATTTATACATAACTGCCTTCAAACTTTAATCGCATTGATCCAAAATACAACCATAGATTAACCGTTAAATAAGAACAGGGTTTGCTTCATCTTTGACATTATTTTTGATATGTCCATTTTCAAATAAATCACACTTTTTCTATTACCACAACCCAATGAATTGGGGGAATTCGCTTTATAAATTTAATTTTAATCCTTTTTGAATAATTTCATATATTGTATTTTTATAATTATGTATTTTATAAAATATATATTATAATTTATTGAGCAGCATGTGGGTAACATTTTTGTAATGATTGAATAGCACTACTATATTATGTACGTCTATTAATCGGAAATTAGCTAGACAATCAATGCGTAGGGTAATCAGAATCGGTTTCCATTATTGTATAGTAAATTAAAATACCTTTATTAGGTTAAATTTACTATAATATGGACCGATCAAATATTTATATAAATATGTATATTTATTTGAATAAAAATATAATAAAAGGTATAAATTATTATTAGGTATGATTAACAATTATGTGAAATCAACTAATTGTTAGGTGCAATAACTAATTATTTTTTAGAAAACTTTTTTCTTTTTTTATTAATTTAGTAAATGTGATTAAACGAATTGTAAATATATTTTAAATTAAGAACCTGATTAATTGTATTGTTTCTTATTTGTAATGGATATGACATTCAATATTAAAGTTTAATAATAAGTATATTCCATATACTTGACCATTATGTTATTGAATATACGAAATAAAAAAAATTAAGTACATAATTAGGTGTTCTTTTTAATTTAAAATGAATGGTGTTATGATAAAATTAGATCGTTATATATTATGGCAATAAAACAATTCTCGTATAGAGCTATTTAAAATTAAATACAAGAATGTCATTTTAATTTTATTTAGAACGCATAGATATTGTAGTCACTATAATTGATGACGTGGTGGGTAGAGAGGTTCTTATCTCTTATTTTTATGTTAAAAAGTCGAATATATATAAGAAGATATATTAGTACTCACATAATTAAATTACTACAGTATTAACTTAAAATCTAATGTATCTTAAATACAAATTTTTAATGTACTTATTTATATTTAAGATACATTCAATAGATATTTTATAAATTAATAAAGCCCTTAATATGCTAAAAATCTAACATACAAAGTGGTTCATTAAAGTTAAGTCACTCATTTTATTGAAAACTATTGAAAAATTTTAATATATTTAAAGGAAAAAATGATTTCATTCAATAAACTCTACAATATATTTTTTTTATCACTTCGGGTTAAAATCATAACTGTATTTTCTTTATTGGATAAATCATTTTTTAGTTTGATGATATGAAAGAAAAATATTTATAAACAATTTTATCTTTATAATATTCATGTACCATTTATCTGTTACAAAATTTTAATACATTTCTAATTAAAAAGTATCTGTTTATAGCATATACTAATAAGAGATAATAAAAATCGAAATAACTAGCTATATTAAATGACAAAACATTAAGATTTATAGTAATTTGTCAAACTAAATGACGTCATACTCTGTTTTACGAAAAATACCAAGTATCTGTTTGAATTTTTGTATTTTTAAGTTTCTATAATTACAGAACAATTGTATAAATATGACTTATGCAATATCATTACAAAAAAAAAAAAAAAAATATAACATAATTTTATATCTTTTAAGAAATTGTAGTAATCTGCAATTCATAAAAATACAAAAAAAAAAATTTAGTCTTTCCAACCACTATAAGTTTTTTAAATGGAAAAATATATGTTTAACCAATCTTTTAAATATCTTTTATACGTTATCCTGATATTAATATATAAAAAAATAGTTTTAACTATTTATTTACTATTAACTTATAACTTAACATAAAAGTTGACTTACATCACTCAAAAAGTTATAGGATTTCAAAAAATAAATTATTAAGTTTAACTTATAAAAATTATAAATAGTTACTTATGACTAATCATTGAATAATAAATAAAAATAATCGACACCATAAAAAGATCTTTAAAAAATGTATTAGCTGATACACATATATCAAAAACAATGCTTATCTAACAAATAGAATGTGTTTGGCGCTGATGATGGATTGGTATTAAGTTAATTTTATTTATAATTGATTATTATTGTAAAAATTGTTAGTCAATTTGTGCATTGAAAAAAAGTTTATTTTGAAGTGTATAAATAATCTAGAAAAACAGTAATTTTTATATTATTAACTATTAAATCACTATTCAAAGATTTAAATTTTGTTTGGAATAACCCGATGCGAATTTTAATATTTCACATTTATCGTTAACATTATTAAGACATAAAACAAATTTTTATCACTTTTAACATTTATTAGCTTCGATGCGAAGCTGAGAAGGTATTGGTTTTACTATAATGTGTTTATTAATTTTTATTTTTTTGTGTCTATTACCCCTTTTTCTCAGCTCTCACCGAACCGATTTCTTTCAATGATACGTCAAATGATCATAAATCGTATCTAGTCGAAAACATTACCCTCAAAAATTGAAAAAAATTCCCTCGTTTCCCGTAAATGGGGGAAACCTCCAAAAAAATTACAAATTTAAAAAACGCTAATTTTCGAAATTTTTTCAATTTTTTTTACTTAAAATTTCTATCACTTTTTTAAAAACCACCAAATCAATATACTTTTTTTTTATATAGATGCATGATATCATTACCTTTTATTTGGTAAATTTTTTTTTTATATCCACCAATTTTTTAAAATTAAACAATATCTAAAGATTTGAATCGAAGCGTTTTTTTTTTTTATAGTGATTTTAATCACTGTCAGATATAATTATACCTGATCCAAATATGATATGTCACCACTGTGCCGCGACCCCCCCTATTCTGGGTTTTTTGTTATGTATAAAATCTTGACAAAATGTAATTGACAATTATTTAAAAATAAAACTACAAACAATAAAGGTATAAGTCATTATAAAACTTTTGTTTAAATAAGTAGACATTTTATTTTTAAATATACAAATAATGGGGCTATTCTTTGATGATTTAAATATGAATATTTAAGCAACTTTAAACTACATTTTTCTAGTGTAAATCGTATAATTCTAGTAAAATAAAATTTAAAAATGATGATTGCAAATACATGGTGCCTTTATTTGGTGTTAAACATTTTATATAATACTCAGAAAGCTTCATGTTTTACAATGCAACATATTCTTAGTAATTTTGTTTACTCTCTGGCTAGTCGTCAACTTAATGGAGTCAGTGTTCGATTTAAAGGAGGGAGTTTTATAACTTTTGATGTCTTAAAAATGCAAGCAAATTATATGGTAAACGTCTATGATAATAAAGAGAAGAGATCTGAAGTACAAAACTTCCTTGAACAATTTCAAGATCATTTGCCAGATTTTGTTTACTGTAAGTATGCGGAAAGAATAACCGTTATTACTCATTATATTTATTACATAATGAAACAGTGTAAAATATTTATGAATGAAAACTTAATAAAATCTCTTAACAAATGTATTCAACAATTAGTAGAATTGGTAAAGTCTATACAAAATGGAATTCAGTACGTTAGTCAACTTGGTTCTAGAGATGATAGCTTTCCATATATTCCATATTTATTTCTAATCAATCCACTTAATTCGGGTCCCATAGAACAGGTTGGCATTAAGAATTACATTGAAAATGTATTATATATATTAAAGATAGAGGCAAATAGTTATATGACAGAATTTTGTGTATATTCAAAAGATAATATCCCAAATTCAAGATCTCTCGATAAAATGTTTGCAGAGCATTCGAAAGATTTTGCAGATGATACTAAGTTAGAATTTTTAGTGAAAAAAACTGAAGAATACTTTACTGAAACTAAAACTTTTATGACTCATTTGGATACAATGTATAAAAACGTTTTTGAAAAAAATTATCAATTAATGTAAAAGTTATGTTCTTGTACTAAATTTTTTAAATAATAATAAACATAATAATTAAAAATATTTCCTGTTAAATAAAATAATAATTATATAAATGAGTTAAAAAATATTATGTTCAAAAATAGTTTTTTATTTGTTATTTTATATTTTATTTACTAAATACCTTGAATGAATATTAGTATACCAATAAAACATAAAAAATATAAAAAATATTATATTTTAATTTTAGATAATGAATGATTGTTTTTTTTTTAATGGCATTTATTTTAGAAAAAGTAGTTTAAAGTGCATTCCTGTCATTAGAGTTTTGAGAATAAATTAACTTTGGATGGCTAATTACTAATTATTTTTTAACTCACTAAAAGCCCAATGAGACTATATTATTTAACCTTCCGGTGGACGCGTAGCAGCACTGTGTGCTGCCAAATTAGTTTTTTCGTGATAAATACTAGTATGTATTTTTGAAAGGCTAGATAATTNAAAAAAAAAAAAAAAAAATATAACATAATTTTATATCTTTTAAGAAATTGTAGTAATCTGCAATTCATAAAAATACAAAAAAAAAAATTTAGTCTTTCCAACCACTATAAGTTTTTTAAATGGAAAAATATATGTTTAACCAATCTTTTAAATATCTTTTATACGTTATCCTGATATTAATATATAAAAAAATAGTTTTAACTATTTATTTACTATTAACTTATAACTTAACATAAAAGTTGACTTACATCACTCAAAAAGTTATAGGATTTCAAAAAATAAATTATTAAGTTTAACTTATAAAAATTATAAATAGTTACTTATGACTAATCATTGAATAATAAATAAAAATAATCGACACCATAAAAAGATCTTTAAAAAATGTATTAGCTGATACACATATATCAAAAACAATGCTTATCTAACAAATAGAATGTGTTTGGCGCTGATGATGGATTGGTATTAAGTTAATTTTATTTATAATTGATTATTATTGTAAAAATTGTTAGTCAATTTGTGCATTGAAAAAAAGTTTATTTTGAAGTGTATAAATAATCTAGAAAAACAGTAATTTTTATATTATTAACTATTAAATCACTATTCAAAGATTTAAATTTTGTTTGGAATAACCCGATGCGAATTTTAATATTTCACATTTATCGTTAACATTATTAAGACATAAAACAAATTTTTATCACTTTTAACATTTATTAGCTTCGATGCGAAGCTGAGAAGGTATTGGTTTTACTATAATGTGTTTATTAATTTTTATTTTTTTGTGTCTATTACCCCTTTTTCTCAGCTCTCACCGAACCGATTTCTTTCAATGATACGTCAAATGATCATAAATCGTATCTAGTCGAAAACATTACCCTCAAAAATTGAAAAAAATTCCCTCGTTTCCCGTAAATGGGGGAAACCTCCAAAAAAATTACAAATTTAAAAAACGCTAATTTTCGAAATTTTTTCAATTTTTTTTACTTAAAATTTCTATCACTTTTTTAAAAACCACCAAATCAATATACTTTTTTTTTATATAGATGCATGATATCATTACCTTTTATTTGGTAAATTTTTTTTTTATATCCACCAATTTTTTAAAATTAAACAATATCTAAAGATTTGAATCGAAGCGTTTTTTTTTTTTATAGTGATTTTAATCACTGTCAGATATAATTATACCTGATCCAAATATGATATGTCACCACTGTGCCGCGACCCCCCCTATTCTGGGTTTTTTGTTATGTATAAAATCTTGACAAAATGTAATTGACAATTATTTAAAAATAAAACTACAAACAATAAAGGTATAAGTCATTATAAAACTTTTGTTTAAATAAGTAGACATTTTATTTTTAAATATACAAATAATGGGGCTATTCTTTGATGATTTAAATATGAATATTTAAGCAACTTTAAACTACATTTTTCTAGTGTAAATCGTATAATTCTAGTAAAATAAAATTTAAAAATGATGATTGCAAATACATGGTGCCTTTATTTGGTGTTAAACATTTTATATAATACTCAGAAAGCTTCATGTTTTACAATGCAACATATTCTTAGTAATTTTGTTTACTCTCTGGCTAGTCGTCAACTTAATGGAGTCAGTGTTCGATTTAAAGGAGGGAGTTTTATAACTTTTGATGTCTTAAAAATGCAAGCAAATTATATGGTAAACGTCTATGATAATAAAGAGAAGAGATCTGAAGTACAAAACTTCCTTGAACAATTTCAAGATCATTTGCCAGATTTTGTTTACTGTAAGTATGCGGAAAGAATAACCGTTATTACTCATTATATTTATTACATAATGAAACAGTGTAAAATATTTATGAATGAAAACTTAATAAAATCTCTTAACAAATGTATTCAACAATTAGTAGAATTGGTAAAGTCTATACAAAATGGAATTCAGTACGTTAGTCAACTTGGTTCTAGAGATGATAGCTTTCCATATATTCCATATTTATTTCTAATCAATCCACTTAATTCGGGTCCCATAGAACAGGTTGGCATTAAGAATTACATTGAAAATGTATTATATATATTAAAGATAGAGGCAAATAGTTATATGACAGAATTTTGTGTATATTCAAAAGATAATATCCCAAATTCAAGATCTCTCGATAAAATGTTTGCAGAGCATTCGAAAGATTTTGCAGATGATACTAAGTTAGAATTTTTAGTGAAAAAAACTGAAGAATACTTTACTGAAACTAAAACTTTTATGACTCATTTGGATACAATGTATAAAAACGTTTTTGAAAAAAATTATCAATTAATGTAAAAGTTATGTTCTTGTACTAAATTTTTTAAATAATAATAAACATAATAATTAAAAATATTTCCTGTTAAATAAAATAATAATTATATAAATGAGTTAAAAAATATTATGTTCAAAAATAGTTTTTTATTTGTTATTTTATATTTTATTTACTAAATACCTTGAATGAATATTAGTATACCAATAAAACATAAAAAATATAAAAAATATTATATTTTAATTTTAGATAATGAATGATTGTTTTTTTTTTAATGGCATTTATTTTAGAAAAAGTAGTTTAAAGTGCATTCCTGTCATTAGAGTTTTGAGAATAAATTCACTTTTGATGGCTAATTACTAATTATTTTTTAACTCACTAAAAGCCCAATGAGACTATATTATTTAAAGTATTGGTTAAGTGTATGGATCAACACAATTTTATGAGAATTAATATTTATATCCCTTTTTCATTCTTCGTAATTTTTTTTTTTATAGATGCTTGATGTCTTTACCTATCTTTTAGTATATTTTTTTTATAAATTTGACCCTTTACCTGCCAAAAGGAAGGGATTCAAAATGACAACTTTTTTACAAAAAATTAACTTTTTCAATTTGACTTTTGAAAATGTTCAGGAAAATCTGACATTTTTATATATATCTTAAATTAAAGCGATTAATACTTAATCATGGAAAAAAAATTTCGGACTTTATTTTATCTTCACGGAAAAAATGGCTACCGAATGCTATTTTTGTGTGAAAATTTTCGATTTGGTATTTTACATTTGTAACTTTATTATGCTATAACTTTTTGAAAAATGTATGAATCAATTTTATTCTTTAATGATATACACCTCTTTCATTGGACATACTTATTTTTTAAATCGGACTATTTCCCTATATACAGTGTGCGACGCGAAATACTCGGACGACCAATCGCCGAGTGAAATCACGTCTAAAGGTTCCTTTAGATAAAATTAAAGAATACGTTTTTAGTGGACTGTATTTTATTTATCTAATTTAATATGTATTCTCTAATACAGTAACAACAATGGTTTATCTTAAATCTATTGTTAGTACTTATATTTAAAACTAATATACTAAAATACAACAACATAAATTTTTTGTAATTAATATTTTGACAAACAGAAAATGTATAGTCTGACCTTGCTTTCTGTACCCAAAGAAGATAGTGAATGTGTTAAGTAAAGCAGTTGAGCCCGACGCAATCAACAGAGTGAATTGAACACATAAAACCGTCAAAGAAAACAAAATCAACAAAATAACGCACTAGAGTCCGTGATACACAAAACCACTCTAGGCATGCCGATACGCGAATGACACCTTCGCGACCACCGCCACACACTACCCCAATAAGTAAACCAGTTGTGACAGGTCGCGCTCTTGTTGAAGAGAATAAAAAATCGGCGCTCACTCACCAAACTGTTTCGTCACGACCGAACATACAGGGTGGTGCAAACCTTTTAAAATGCGTATAGTATGTAGAACTTTTTCAACTTAACTTTTATAAATGTTCCGGAAAGACTGACACTTTTAAATATACCTTAAAATAGAGCTTATAAAATATCATTTATTTTGAAAAAAAAATAAATTGATCTCTAGACTTGTCTTTGTGGTGAAAACGGACATCAAAGTTAAAGAAAAACGTACGATTTCCGTGAAAAAATTGTCGATTTTATATTATTAAATTTATATTGCTATAACTTTTGGAAAAATGTATGGATCAATATTATTATTTTTTATAAATAATTTTTATATACCCATTTAATCTAACACGCTTTTTTTGTAAATTGGATCTTACCCCTTTATACAAGAGGGGGTCAATACTTTATACGTGCGTATTGAAACTAGGAAATTTTCAATTAAATTTTTAAAGTGTTCCAGAAATACTTACCCTTTTATATGTATCTAAAATTAAAGCTGATGTAATATACTTTAATTTGAAAAAAAAAATTTGACCTCCGGATTTGTCTTCATGGTAAAAATGACTACCATATTCAAAAATATGCTATTTTTGTATGTAAAATTCTGGCTTTTGTATTTTATTCTATTTTAAATACATGACAAGGGGAACACTATACTATATATTAAGTTTTAGTTTCTAAGCAAAGCTGAGAAGATATTTTTTTGTGACCATCATTTATTTTATCTGCTCTAACTTGACCTATTTTTTTCAACGATACGTCAAATTACTATAATTCGTATCTAGTTGAAGATATTATCCTAAAAAATTGAAAAAAAATTCTATACTTGTCCCATCTATGCCTCGTTCACACTGTGCCGCGACTCCACTGTGCTACCGTTTTTTAACTAATTGATATAATTACTATTTTATATAACACGAAATATTTTTAATAATTATTTTTATTATTATTTAAATTATTTAGGACAAAAACAATACCTTTTACATTTATTGATTATCATTACGAAAAACGATTTGATAAATTAAATTTAAATTAGCAATAAAAGTTTTAGTTTCATCAAAATATGCTTCAGTATATTTCGCTATAAAATGGTACTTAGTTTCATTTGCAGTAAGTCTGTTAATATATAAATCCCCGACATATTATACTACAACCAAGATAAAATTGTATCTACTCCCAATGCCTCTGAATCTTTTGCACATTTCTTTCAAAAGAATAACAGCGACGAAAACTACGACCTCGACTTCATTTCACACAGAAACGCCAACAATAAGGTCCCAGAATTTAGTCAAACAAATGCACACTACAACCTTTGCTTTGATATATCTGAACTTTCCTCAACATTACAATCTTGCACCAGCAAGAGCCCTGGGCCCGACAATATACCGTACATTTTCCTCAAAAACCTACCTGCAATAGGAACTCAAACACTTCTTCATATATACAACATCATATGGACAAAAGGTCTCTTTCCTAATCAATGGAGAAACGCTAATGTAATACCCATTCCTAAACCGGGCAAAACCAAATTCGAAATCGAAAATTACAGACCAATATCGCTGATTAGCACTTTAAGCAAACTTCTTGAAAAAATGATAAACAAACGCTTAATTTGGGTCCTAGAATCAGAAAACCACCTCGTCAAAGAACAATGTGGCTTTAGACGTAACCACTCGACACTCGATGCATTATCCATAATACACACAGATATCTGCTCCTCTTTTAGGAGCAACCAGCACCTTATCACAATAGCCCTTGACATAAAAAAAGCATATGACACCGTATGGAGAAATAGAGTAATATCAATTCTTCACAGTTGGGACCTCAATGGAAACCTCCTAGAATTCATAAAAAATTTTCTAGACAATCGTAAGTTTTGTGTAAAAATCAATAACCACCTATCTTCCTCTCATGACATCGTTAATGGACTACCTCAAGGGTCTGCACTCAGCGTGACTCTTTTCTTAGTTGCCATAAATGACATCTGTAAAAACCTCCCAAAGCCCGTGAAATACATTCTTTTCGCCGACGATTGCAATATTTACTGCAGTGGGTCTCAAATCGAAACAACCTCTCATTTCCTTCAACTGTCACTGAACGCCCTCACCAAATGGTCAACAGAATCAGGTTTTTCGTTCTCTCCATCTAAAACACAGTGTATCATCTTCAATAAAAGGAAAAAAGACCCTCTACCTCTTATCACTTTCATGAATACCCCTCTGACATTTACCAGCAATATTCGAATTCTGGGTCTCACGTTCGATGACAAACTAAGCTGGCGCCCTCACTTGACAAAACTCAAAGCAGACTGTTTATCTAAAATGAAAATTATAAAAACAATCGGTAACAATACATGGGGATCTGAGACAAAAAGTCTTCTCAGGATCTACAAGTCTCTTATTCTCTCGGTACTCGATTATGGTGCTATAATCTACAGTTCTGCAAAAAGTAATACTCTCGACACCATTAATCCTATACACAACCAAGGTATACGTCTGGCAACTGGTGCTTTCAGGACTAGCCCGGTAGATAGTATCTTGTGTAATGCTGGTGAACTGCCTCTTGAACTTAGACGTCATACTCAGATACTAAAATTCATATCAAGAATCAAAAGTATGCCCAATCATATAGCCAGTAAGATACTCCATAATCCTCTCCCCCACAACTCTTCCAACTACAGGAATACAATTTTTGAATATTTCAAAATTACCAGTGAAAATCTCGACCTCCAAACTCAAACATTGAGCAAAGTACAACTCCCGTCGCCCCCTTGGCTCTGGTCTCCGGATATCAACACTCAACTTACCAACTACTGCAAACACTCTACTAACAGCACTATCATCCGCAATCTTTTCTCGGAAATAATGTCCCAACAATACTCCAGCAGTACACACATATACACTGATGCATCCAAAAACTCTAATGGAGTGGGTTTTGCAACAATCATAGGTCATGAAAATCATAAATTCTCACTTCCTCCTAGCACCAATATATACACAGCTGAAGCTTATGCCATCTTTGAAGCTCTGAAAATCGCCTCCTCCTTAAATTCAGATTCTTTCACCATCATAAGCGACTCTTTGAGTGCTTTAATATCTATCTCAAATCCATACCCCAAGAATGAACTAGTACAACACATCCAAAAACAGATATCTACCTCTAACAAAACTTTCTCTTTCATGTGGGTCCCCTCTCACGTCGAAATTTCTGGCAATGAAAGAGCAGATAAATCTGCAAATGAAGCCACACTTCCTCAAAATGCCTTAGAAATAAACCTAACTACATCCTCAGAATTGCTGGACATCATTAACACCAAAATCTCTGACACATGGCAAACTAAATGGAACAGAGTCCCGCTATCAAATAAACTGAGAAACATCAAGCCCTCCATAAAAAAATGGATTTTTCCCTGTAACCTCAAAAGAAGGGACGAGGTCATTATAACCCGGGCTAGAATAGGCCACACTCATCTCACCCACTCATTCCTCATCACCAAGGATCCTGCTCCACTATGTGACGCATGCAACGAGGACCTGTCGATCGACCACATTGTCACTAGATGTCCAAAATACGCTGCAGCTCGGAAAATATTCAAAGATTCGTCTTCTCTCCAACTTGCTCTCAGCGAAGAAAACACAGAAGCTATATACAAATTTTTTTATCTTATACATTTAAACAATAAGTTGTAAATATTCATAACTTTACATTGTAATAACTCTCTGCAGGCTAATAACCTAAGCTGTTGAAGCCTTATCATTAATAAAAAAAAAA